TTTTAGTTTTAGTTTTAGTTTTAGTTTTAGTTTTAGTTTTAGTTTTAATGTCTCAAACACTGAAGTTCAAAGACAGGAGCCTTCATCATTGAAGTTTACCACATGCAGCAGGTTGACTATAACATATTCATCGATTGAAACATATTTAAAACCTGCCAAGGATGTTGCTTTCCATGAGCAAATACCTGGATTCTGACATCCCATGCTCCTCTGTGCCCAGCAGGGATCATATCCATCTACCCAATCCCTGATAGGTGGTAGGTGTGAGCTCTTTCTAGGATAGACCATTTAGATTCAAATGAGATGTACTGAATTAGTGAAAGACAAATTCTCATTCGCTAATGTTAAGGAGATGTTAAGGAGAAAAGGATCAAGGAAGGAAAAGGGGCAATTTATTTGTAATTTAAATTCCCTCAGATAGAAATGACTCACAATTGGTGGAGTCATAAACTGCAGAACCAATGAACACTTCTTTAAAATATATATATCTTGGGGTGCCTGGGTGGCTCAGTTGGTTAAGTGCCCGACGTGGCTCACGTCGTGATCTCACGGTTCATGGGTTCAAGCCCCGTGTTGGGCTCCATGCTGACTGCTCAGAGCCTGGATCCTTCTTCCAATTCTGGATCCTTCCAATTCCAATTCCTCTCTCTCTCCCCTTCCCCTCTCTCTCTCTCTCTTAAAAATAAATAAAATATTAAAAAAAAATAAAAAAATATACAGAAATCTAAAATATACAGTATTTTATCATATATATGTGTGTACACACATATATATATGTATATATGATATATGGCCTACTTTTAAGCATTTGAGTCTTTAATATTTTTTTACATTTTTACTTTGTCTTATAAAAACTTGTAAACTATTGCAGTGACCCAGTCTTATCCGTGTCCCTGAGATGTAGGATAGGTTCTAAGTTCTTAATATCTCATTTGGAAATTAAATGATTGTTTTTTCCTTCTATGCAATCTTCAGTCTCTAGGAAGGCCAATTTTCCAGGGCAATTCAGAAGAGATCAGGGAAATAATCATCAGTAGGACTGATCATTGTGTTTATAAAATCCCATTAAGGACATTCTTTCTGATCAGCTTCTCCTTGGCTCTTAGGGTAAAAGAGACGATCTGAGTTGCCCCACAGGAAATAATCGTTCTTATACACTGCCAAGAAAGAAGGATGCACGGCTGAAGCATCCTGGTAGAAAATCAGTGCAGAAATAGGGATGAAATTTTTTTCAGTTTCTTCCCATAGGTATTAATCAGGCAGACCAGCATCAGTGGATACTTCACCAGGCTTTAAAACGGCTGACCTCTGGATCCTTTGCACTAACATCACTCTGAAAACTTTTGGCACTGTTAACCTAAATCTGAGCTCGTTTTAGGTCATAGAGTCTATTACATGCATCAAGTCTAAAATTTTGCATTCAGTTATGTGGAAAAGTACTTCCTCTTAGAAACGATACATAGCTGCTTATAGGTACTCTCATATCTGATTTTGTATCATTATCATGTTCATAAAACTAGTATGTCTATGGAATTAAATATACAGTGATATAAATGTCTATTTACCATTTTATATCCTGTAAAGACCATATATTCCTTGGGGCAAATTCATTATTATAAGTAAATTCATGACTCTTGGCCTGTATTACTAATAGAAGAAATATATATATTGGCCAGATGATTTTAAAATAGAAGACAAAAAAACCCTGAAAAAACTATGAGAAAGTATTGATATGGACTCAAAGCTAAAAAAGCAAATGGTATAAACAAATAGAAAAAGATTATAATTTTGGACATCTGGATGACTCAGCTAAGTGTCAGACTCACAGTTTTGTGAGTTCAAGCTGCACATTGTGTTATGCACACCGACCTCCCAGAGACTGCTTGGGATTCCCTCCCTCTCCCTCTGCTCCTCCCCTGCTCATGCTCTCTCTCTCAAAATGAATAAAAAACTCAAGAAAAAGATTATAATTTTAAAAAGTAGATCAAACATCAACATATATTAAAGAAAATTAACACAAAACAAATACATGAAGTGGTTTTAGCATCAAAATAGAAAATAAATATAATTAATACAATAAAAATAAGATTCAAAAGTCTGTATAAAATATTTTACGAAGATTCTAAGGAAATATTGTTAAATGGGAAACTTAAAATTTATCAGATTATAAAATAAAATACCAAGTGTAAAGCCAGCAAGGTGAAAGTAAGATGATGATAGATAAAAATCAATAATACACCATAATTTATTTAAATGCAAAACAAAACCCTATTTTTTAAAGTCAAAAAATTAGCAACAAATATTTTTTTAAGATTGCTAATGCAGACTCAAGAGAAGGTAGAAGTTACTGGAGACTAAGGATGGTTTGCCTTTGGGAAATATTTTTTTGTTCCTAGTTTTTATCATATTTATACCTGTGAAAAATTAAAGTTGATTCGGACTTGAGCTTTCATGATTTTTGTTTTAGATGTTATTGTGAAGATGAACTTCATAGTCTGTTGACAAATGGAAATAGATTGACTTAAATCTATCCATGTTTGTTTTAAAGAATGGGAAAAAGGGGCTTGTTTGAAATGTCATGACACTCATAATAGTGGAAAACTTATTTATATATATTTTTCCCAACAGCCACTGAACTATGAGAAAAAGAAGTCATATACTCTCACCATAGAAGGAGCAAATACACACCTTGATTTTCGCTTTTCTCACTTGGGTCCTTTTAAAGATGCTACCATGCTGAAGATCATCGTTGGGGATGTAGATGAACCACCACTGTTTTCCATGCCTTCTTATGTCATGGAAGTCTATGAAAACGCCAAGATCGGGACTGTTGTTGGCACAGTTTTGGCACAAGATCCTGACAGCGCCAATAGCTTAGTAAG